AGTTGTGAAGGGATGATGTGCCTGATCCTCTATTCAGACCTAGTATAACATAGACCTTACAGACAATCTTCGGGACCATGGCTTCCAAAACTAAGATTGTTATCATGCAGAGTAAATGAGATAAAGAATCTCTGGATCCTGTTGTTTTGGGGTTTTTTTCCACAGAAGACCACCACTGAGGTCTTCCACACCTTCCCCAAACCATCAGCTCCTTGACAAACAGCCCATTTGCTATTCCCTCCCCATTTCTCCCAAGGCACCACAGAGCTCGACCGATGGTGACAGACCACGTTGCAGCTTATGGATGACTTGCTGGCAAGCAGACACCACCTCCCTCTCCCCAAAGTTCCTACAAAGGACAAAGCACAAACATCACTGATCCATGCTGCTTTGCCAATCGACATCATCCCAGGCGGAGAAACACCACAGTTTCTACTGGAAGGGAGCAGGAATCGCTCCCAGCAGCAGAATGCTCTGCTTTGTCCCGAAACAGAGCACAACCCTCTCACCCTTTGCCGCGTTCCCACTCGCCTTCCCAGCTCCCAGCCTTCAGCCCTTTCAACACCCACAGTTTTTCCATTCTGCTGCGAAGCGATGAGAAATTCCCTGCCAGAGGACATTGTTCAAATGGGTTATTGAAAAGAAATGCAATTCCCTACTCTGGGCGAACAAGCTCCTTCTTTTCCCCTTGAGGAAGGAGGATAATAGCACAGCTAGAGAAAAAAAAAAAACCTATCCCCAAAGCCTGCTGTAATAACATTAAATAAGAATCCAAAAGGGTTTGGCCAGGAAAATCCCAGGTTCAAAAGAATAATTGCTTGAAGAGATGCAAGCCTACAGCTGAGTCACTAAAATGAAGAAACCTCTCCTTGTCCATAGAAAGCAAACAAATCTTGGGTCATGCAGCAAAGCTTCTGTATGTCCTTGTTAGAAAGAAAGAAGAAAGAAGCCAAATGCAATTAATCATAGTCCGAGAAGAAAGGATGAAACCTCTGTAATTAGCTACCTAGGCTCATCTTTCCACTTTTGAAGACTAATCCAGCCTTCTTTCACCCTTCACCCACAGTGCTGCCACAAAAGTCTACTACAAATACCAAATCACTTCTCTCCAGGGGTACACACTCACCTGCAGCCTGTGGTCCCCTAACAGCTTTACAGTAAGTGTTCGGGGGCGGGGGGACACATTTGCAGAGAGCAAACAGAGCCCCTTTTTTTTGGTCGGCTTTTGTGGATGAGCTCTTATGGAGTTTGCCGACTCTCCAAGAACCTGGAAACCTCAGCTGAACTACAGGAGTTATTTTCAAGCTGGGTATTTTATATCCACAATCCTGATCTAACTGATCAATGACCAGAAAACACCAGTAAAAAAACCCAAAACATATAAACATGAAAACACTTTTCAAATAGTTAAGATTACAACTGCTTGTGTTAATAAATTGGCTTATGCCTCATCCTTAGGTGGTGTAAATTTGCCTGACCATCAACCCATAGAAAGCATGTTCTTCACAGCTGTACGTACAGAAGTGAGTGGATATGGCTATATATTAAGAGCAAGGTCTCCAGCAATTAAATTCAGCAGGGAGAAGCCAGCCGACAAGCAGCTCCTTTAACTGCAAAAGGCAAAGCCACATTCCACAGATGAAACCTGTCCAGGTCTGACTAAAAGTCACAATTCCTTTGCTACAGCTTCATTCAAACTTTTGGAAAACATAGGGGAAAAACACAGTACTTTAGAGAGAGGAAGAGGAAGGGCTGGAGCTGGTGGCTACAGTTTAGGAGCAAAGGTCAGGATCTGATGTCCCAAAAATCCTATGCAAATCAGAACAAGCCATTCAACTTCCCTGAGGCTCCCTCAATAAATAAGGGTTGACAAATATTATTACAGCAATGAAAACAATAACAGAGCAGCTCTTTAGGTCAAGTACATCAATGGTGAATACAATACAGTGGAATAATACCAAAATGACATCAGCTGAGGAACTGAGACCAATTTCTACACCCTCTTTTGTATACAAACCACTGCTATAACATATGAATAATGCTGTCAACAACAGACGGGGAACGTTGGCCAGCTTTGTGGTGAGGGAGAATGAAGAATGCAGAATGGACAGAAATCTCCAGCTTTGCTCTTCCATGACATGGCAGAAATACTTATTTTTCAAAGGAAGGAGATTGGGTCCTTCTTCTATGAAAAAAATTGGAAATGACCATGCAGCTGGAGCCTTCCTGTACAAATGTGGGAAACGGGCAGGGATGATTAACAGCCCATGTGTAGGATAGAGCAACAGGGTCAAGGAGCCTCACGTACATCCATAATGCGACACCCACTCCTTTCCCCCCAGGTGAGTGCCGCAGGCATAGCCAGAGCTGCTAGGGATGCTCTTGGGGACTGTTCCATGGCACAGACCTGCCTTCATCTGCTTGCAGGGCTGAATCCCCACTCACCACCAATATCAGCCAAAACACTAAAAAAAAAAAAAAAATCAATCATCAGTAGATTGCTTCTCTAATCTTTGCATGTGGCTGAGATGTGGCAGAGGAGCAAAGCATGGTGTCAAAACAAGGGTGGGATTTGGCTGCAATGAAGGTGGCTACCAAACATCCAGAGTGGCTTTCTCAGCCTGGAACTGCTGTTTATAAAATCAAACCCACCCTCTGCAGGTCAGGATGGTCAGAAGGGCCCTGCCAGCATGCTGGAGTTTATCCCTTGTTAATGGGAATTCCTACCGTCCTTCCAGGGGGATGCACAGATCCTCACAGAGAAAAACAAATGCTGCCAGCAGACAGGCTGCTTTCCCCAGTCCTGCTTACAGGACTGAAGAGCAGCCCCAAAACCACTGCGATGGGATGCTGCAGCAGCCAGGCACGAACTGTGAGCCGAAGCTGCCCTCCGCCGGATGCAAGGGAAACACCCCACTGCAATGGGAAAGCCCGAAACTATGTTGTTTTTCAGGTGCAGGTCCCTTACTTTCCCATAATTACAGGCAACATTCACTTTTCTCAGCGTTATGTTGCAGGCACAAAATGCAAGGGCCAGGAGCTTTCAAAATAAGCCGCAACCTGGGAAGTCTGGAAGCATCTTCTTGTCTGACAGCACCAAGCCCTGGCATCCAAAAGCCGGACTCCATTCCAGTGTCTCTAACTGAAACAGGGGACTCTCTCCCACTGCTGCTTTTTCTATAAACCAGCGACTGATGCACACACTGGAAAGTGAAACCCCATAAATTTTTGCTAGATGACAATGCTACTTGAATGTTGATGTTGAGGCATATAACCAAAGATTAAGCTGAGAACTGAAGTAACCTTTACTTTCAGACAGTTAACACACAGAAGGGGTACGATCACTGTATTTGATTAAAAAGAATACTTACTAAAATCCCATTCAACCATCAACACCTATAAATACTTCAAAGTCTGGAATTAGTTAATATTATGTACAACCCAAATTTTCGTTTTATGTAACCATATAACAACTACAAAATGAACCCTCCCAGCCAGCTTTGTGTCAATTGACCAACACAGAACAGGCACCAAAGAATTTAGAAAAATCTTTTCAGGTTTCAAGTGAGAGGAAGAAAACTCCCGAGGTTGCCTGCAGCAATTAATTTGGCCCAAAGTACAGCCGCAAACAGAGTTTTGCGGGGGCTACTCCCTAAGGCAGCAAGGTTAAAGTCTGCCACTCAGTTAACCTTTGCAAAGATCCGAGACGCAAATAGCATCACCGCAGCACCTGAACACACACGGACGCGCAACGGGGTTCAGAGGGCAACGCACGACGCCGAACACCGTAGCCGAGCGCGCCCCGTGCAAAACGCCCAGGTGACGTATCACCATGTAGAGTCCGCAGCGCTTATGGCGCTAGGGCAAGGATCGGGGGCGGGGGGGGAGGCGGACGCAAAAATAAAAATCAATGACATTTGACTGCATGTCACGACAATCGATACGGAGGAGGGGAGGCCGCCGCGACGGGGCGCGACAGGCCGACGGCGCCACCTAGCGGAGGGGCACTGACACACCCCCCACACCCCCCGCCCTTGCAGGACGAGCCCGATTCCTGAAAACCAGAGCTTCCCCTAAGGATTTTGTTTTAACCTCCACCCCGCGCTGTTGAGGCGCTCTAGTGCTCACAAAGGGGGGGGGGCGGGGGGCGGAAATTAAGAGAGTTATTTCGGTGCTAAGCTGCTAAGTGTCCATAATAAAAGCAGCAGAGCAAAATAAATGCTCAAAAGTTCATATGGGATTTTTTTTTTCCCCCCGCCCCTCACCAAAGAAATGCTGGGGAATCTTCCAGGACGGTTACAGCCATGTGCGCTTCCCTACCCGCAAAGTTCTCCGACACACCACAGCGCTTGAGCTTCCTTTAAAGCTAATAAACAGAGACCTGTAAATAGAGTAAAATCAGGCATCGCTCTCCCGTCGCAGCACACGAGAGAAGGCAGCAGCCCACTGCCACGTTTCGGGCTGTGGAAAACAAACAGGGAAGCGGCAGGCATGTGCAGGCAGGCATCTTGCTGTGACAGGGATAGACCTCCTCACTCTTCTTCCCCACCATCCCAAGCTTGCTTTCCCTTTTCCCAAGGTCTTGCTCCGTGTTGAGCATCCCCCAAGCACACCAGTTTCCCCACTGCTCCCAGTTATCATTTCTCAGTTGTGCAACACTGTTTCTTAAAAGCAAGCGATGCCATATGTGCTGCTTTTCAGCACTCTCAGCTGCAAAGAGAAGACAACCAGGAGACAGACAGACTTTCATACGTCAACTTGTTTTTAAATTAATTTAAGTAGACAGAAGGTGGGATTTTCAACGAGGTCCCCTTAAAAACAGTGGGAGTAGTTTTTTGTAGCAGTACGGAAAGCAAAATTTCGAATTCTGGTACGATCCTCTGCTGCCACCAGCAGTTAAGATACGATCACAAGCTGGGGGGTCGGGGGGGTGGAGCAAAATACCCCTTAGCAGCTCCCTCAATGGTTGCAACAAGGCCAACACCAAACAAGTGGACCACTCACCCAAATTTGGTGGAGAGGACACCCCCCAGGGCAGAGCCAACGATGATGCCTATTCCAAAGCAAAGACCCAGCTTCCCTAAAGCATCAGCACGTTGGGCAGGAGTAGTCACGTCTGTAATAACCTTCTGAGCACCTGCAGGGAAACAAATCCCTTGAAAGAAGCTTGTCCCAGGGTCTGAGCAGCGGGTGTAAGTTTTTAGGCCACAGAAGCAGCGCCTGCCACAAAACGCTCCTTGCAACCCTGGGGCAAATGCTCGCGCGTACCGCTGAATGGAATTGGTTCAGCCCATCAGACACAGGAGACAAAACACTCAAGCCACTCAATGGCAAGAAGAGGCTTAGTCTATCAGCTTGAGTCCCCTCGCGTGAGTTACATGGCCAACTGAAGTAGAACAGCTTGGTGAGTAATGGAGGGTATTTTTGTAACCACGTTTCATTTTCACTAATATGTTAGTTTTACCAGGAGAAAGAGAAAAGCTTGTATATAAAGATTCTGGTTATGAGAAGGCAGCTGAGAAGTTTGGGATAGCTCTGCTGCCAGCAAGTATTCATCACCTGCATCTGAATGGTGAAGTCCAAGCAAATTGCTCAAGATCATAGAGGAAAAGAGACCTGGGACTACAGGCTACCAGCCCTGCTTTCCATAACCAATACACCCGCTGCTTCACATTCTCGCCATTTCATCCCTGATAACCATCAAATGTTCCTCCTGCCTTCCTTCATGCTATTGAGCCTGTTGACTTCAAGGAACATGAGCAAGAAGAGAGGAATCAGTCAATAAAAGCAAGTTGGAAAGTCACTCAGCCCTGACTGACCTTACCTGGTAGCCCATGCATGAACACTGCTGGCAGCCTGGAGAGGAAAAGGAAAGGGATGCTGGTGGAGATCGACATGAGCAGGAAGAAGGTACTTCCAGATGCACAGGAGAGAATTAAGGCAGCTCGGATGCCAAATTGATCTGCAAATCTGGTAGAGAAATGGTACAAGGTTGTCAGAAGGGCAACCATGCAGGTCATTACAAGTGTGATGCACCTAGGTGGATGGAGCATGTCATTTACCCGCCACAGAAAGTGCTGGTCAGATTCTCAGAAGTGCTCTGTTCCCAAAAGAGGACTAGATATTCAGAGGAGCTCAGCTTACTGGGTAACTTCTTTTCATTGCTGACTACTGGCAATACAAAACTTTGCCTTGCAAAAAAAGTCAAATACCTCAAAACAAGCCCCCCCAAAACTGGAAGTCTTGCCTGAAGGAGGAGTGCAAGGACGAGTGCTGAAGAACCAGTTGCTCACTTGGGAACGTGGGCATTGACACTTTGGTGTAACAGGGGAACGCGCAGACAGCTGCCACTACTCAGCCCGTCTCCAGACCCCTTGTAAGCACAAGATAATATGTGCTTGCTTAAGTCCCTTCCACTGGCTTTTCAATGAATAAATGTGATTTATCTCAGAGCTGCTAAAGACCAGCCACAGGCAGAGGCAGTTATGGCATCTCAGCTCAGCAACTCATTCAATGTTACCGCTTCAGAGCACATAGCGCCCTCAAATTTTACTTTGCAGCTTTTAGGGTTGGTTCAGACCAGGGAATCGGGCTAGCTAATTTTTTAGTTCAGGTTCATGGCAATAGAAGTTATTCCAATGTCTTTCCAGAGGATGTTCAAAGCAACATTTCTCATTCAGCACCACTTAAAGAAAATAAATAGATATCTTTCTATTTAGGTTCAATAAAGACTTCACAATAGCGACACAAATTTTCTTCTATTTGAGGGGAAAAACCAAAAAAAGCCAGATGAGGTTTTGGTTCAGGTTTTGTTCAACTCCAAGATACTTAAAGCTAAGTTGGACAAAGTCCAAGAGTTCTGGGTTTTGCTCAGAAAGGGTTCTGAGCAATTGGGATTAAGATGACTGTAAAATAGGCCTTAGATAAAGCTTTTCACTCTAATTCCTCCTTCTTTCTTTTTACTGAAGTTGCCTATTACATTTAGCAGATGAACGTTACCTTGCAAAGCAATTAGTTGTGCTTACACTAAAAGAAACAACCAAAAACAAATGCCAACACTGGTCTACAAAGCTAAGCATAAGTAATTAAATGGGTTTGTGTTGAGGAAGAGGTACAGGTCAAAGCTGCTCTGTTTACATAAAAGCCAGGGAAGTTTATATTAGCTGTTTGTAACCTAAAGACTAGATAGTCTATATATATCTATTAACTAGATAGTCCAGGGCTTTATTGGTTTTGTTCCTTAAGAGTAAATCCAGTGCTTCACCTTCTCATGGCTATTTAGCAGCATCAGGCAAGAAGAAGGAGGAAAACTAACCTAAACACCACATTCTTCTCTCTCTCACCCCCTTCCTTCTCTTTACCTACCTTCACATCGAGGTCAAAGCAGCCTCACATAGAATCATAGAATCTTTGTGCTGGAAGGAACCTTTAAAGGTCATCTAGTCCAACCCCCCTGCAATGAGCAGGGGCATCTTCAACTAGATCAGGTTGCTCAGAGCCCCATCCAACCTGACCTTCAATGTTTCCAGGGATGGGGCATCTACCACCTCTCTGGGCAACCTCTTCCAATGTTTCACCACCATCATTGTGAAAAATTTCTTCCTTACATCTAGTCTAAATCTACCCTCTTTTAGTTTGAAACAGTTACCCCTTGTCCTATTCGTTTCAGGCCCTACTAAAAAGTCTGTCCCCATCTTTCTTATAAGCCCCCTTTAAGTACTGAAACTCTGCAATAAGGTCTCCCTGGAGCCTTCTCTTCTCTAGGCTCAGCCACCCCAACTCTCTCAGCCTTTCTTCATAGGAGAGGTGTTCCATCCCTCTGATCATCTTTGTGGCCCTCTGAATCCTCTCCAACAGGTCCATGTCTTTCCTGTGCTGAGGGCTCCAGAGCTGGATGCAGTACTGCAGGTGGGGTCTCACCAGAGCAGAGTAGAGGGGCAGAATCGCCTCCCTTGACCTGCTGGCCACACTTCCCAATTATTTTCATTGACAGCTCTACTTATCATCAATAAATACGCTCTTTCTTAGGTTTCCCAGTCACAAGACGTTCCTAAGGTTACACACAGCTATAAAACATTTGCAGGATTAAGCTGTTAGGATCTGGGCTCTGAGGACTCTGATGGTTTAAGCCTGTTCCCAGTATATTATTACACTTAAATGTGTGTCATTAAAACATAGCTAAGTTAATATAAAGGCTGCTTCTATTCTGTGGTATTTCTAATTATAGTACTTATTTTCCCCTTGCCCATTTATGAAATCTTCAAACATTTCAACAGGACCATGAACCAGAACTAATTTTTTTTTTTATTAGAATATAAAAATGCCTGGCCTTTTTCAGCTATGAAAAGGGTCATGAGAATTGTTCTCACTTACCTTCCAAAAATGGGACCTCCCACAAGCTGGAGGACACCAAAGGTTGTCTGGAGGTAGCCAAATCCCACTGAATCCAAACCTAGGCTCTTTGCCAAGTACTAAAAACAAAACAAAACAAAAAAAAAAACCAAACCCAACAGGTCAGGGGAAATAAAGTATGCTATATTTCTGAATAAAGCACTTAACATCTGTGTGAAAAAAACTACAGCTCCAAACAAGCACTTCCTTCAGTTTCCTATACTTACAGATGAAATCTTCAGCAGGTCAGACACAGGCTGCTGAATAAAGACCAAAAGACTCCATCCCACATCATGCACTAACGAAGATCAGCAGGATGTGATCAAAACCATCAATTTTGCACCAGGTGACAAATCCAAACCACCCTTTACCTTTGCAGTCCAACACAGATGAACATAATCAGCTACCATTAAGGGGGATGAGGTAGATTTTAAGTAGCTTTCCTGCCTCCAGACCCCACACCTGGGGCAGCCCAAGCACCACCCAGGAGATGATTGCAGTAAGGTCTTGGAGCTGTTGTTTAATTGAGCAAGCTGGAATCAATGCAAGCACAGTATGGGCAAAATACTGTCTGTACTTATAATCTGGATGGCACACGCACAACCTGAGCTGGCAAAAAAACATAGATGCACACCCTGAAGAGCCAAAATCCTTTGGGGTTTTTTACTTCAAAATTGTATGCTCAAGGGACAGCTATTTCTGATTCATGTTTTTATTTTGTGCCATCTGCTAAGAGCTGTTTAAAACTCTGAGCCAAGGTCAGCTCTGGTGTAGAGGTGCCCCAATCTTGCCCCTTTCCCTGGTACATGCTCTTGCACCCAGGTCCCTAAACCCCTTGTAATTGATCAGTGGTTGACTACGCCGATCTCCCATAAATAAACTCTCTCTCAGCATGCAGGCTCAGGGCACCGTGGTTTAGGTCCAGAAGGAGGGAGAAGTTTGCCTCTGGAGGCACAAAACCAGCTGAGAGATCTCCCAGAAGGCATGGGCTCACCAGAGACAGTGGGTGGACAAGCGTGTCATAGATCCAGGAGCTCACAAGAGCGGGAAAGCTGCCCAGGAGAAAAGGACCTGGGGATGTTGGTTGACAGCCACCTGAATATGAGCCACCAGTGTGCCCAGGTGGCCAACAGCATCCTGGCTTGTATCAGGAATAGTGAGGCCAGCAGGACTAGGGAAAAAACCATCCCTTTGTATTTGGCACTGGTGAGGCCGCACCTTGAATCCTGTGTTCAGTTTTGGACCCCTCACTACAAGAAGGCTGTTGAGGTGCTGGAGCGTGTCCAGAGAAGGGCAACAAAACTGGTGAGGGGTCTGGAGCACAAGTCTTATGAGGAGTGGCTGAGGGCACTGGGGTTGTTCAGTCTGGAGAAGAGGAGGCTGAGGGGAGACCTTATCGCTCTCTGCAACTACCTGAAAGGGGGTTGCAGCAAGGTGGGTCTTGGTCTCTTTTCCCAGGTAACAAGTGATACTACAAGAGGAAACAGCCTCAGGTTGCACCAGGGGAAGTTTAGATTGGATATCAGGAAAAATTTATTCACTGAAAGGGTTGTCAGGCATTGGAACAGGCTGCCCAGGGAAGTGCTTGAGTTACCATCCCTAGAGGTATTTAAAAGATATGTAGATGTGGCACTTAGGGACATGGTTTAGTGGTGGACTCAGCAGTCTTAGGTTTACGGTTGGACTCTATGATCTTAAGGATCTTTTCCAAACTAACTGATTCTATGAAACCAGACAGAAGAGTCCAGGAAGCGAGAAGCAAGGATTCCCACTCACAGCTTGTTTATTACACCCTCAAAAAAACCCACCTCTGATTTCTGCTGCCTGCTTCTTGGGTCACTCTTCCGCTGCAAGCAAGAAGACACAAACCACAGCAGCTTCCCACAGGGCCATCAGGCCAGGAAAGGTCTCTAGGTACTACTGCAGTACAAGCAATAAACCAGCTCTTACTGCTGGGCATACCCTGAACGCAGTCACAGCTTGCCTGCTGGGGTAGGAATACGCTTTCCTCTCTCCTGCTAGAAACTCTCTTCTGACTTTGCTGGAAAACTACATAGCCTGACTTTGAAGGCAAGATGTGCTGTGAAGCAGGACAACCCATACTCACAGGCATGACTCCCATCTGCATGAAGAGGAAGGTCAGCTCTAGGGTTGCAATCAGGTAGGCAACAAGAATCACTTGTCCCCTCTTGATGTCTCCCGAGCAGCCGCTGTCCCCCAAGGTCTTGATCCTCATTTCCGAGGCTTCTTCCTCACCTTCAGAACAGGCTTTTGCGTTCATAGCACTCATGGAACGATTTACTGCAGGCTGACAGGCTGAAAAACGACACGAAGGTACTTTCTAGCTGGGAACACAGATCATACGTCAGGTTTAGAAGCTGTGTGTACAGTTCAAAGCTTACAATGTGAGAGGTGCTGAGTCAGCATGCCAGGGATTTATTTTTTCTTTCTTTTCTCCCCTCTGCATACTTGCCACGCAGGATTAAAGGTGACCATGCATCCAGCCACGGATCTTGTTCTTCAGCCTTGTTCCAAGTAGGCTCATTGCTTCACCTACCGTCTCAACAAAAACCAGCTTGTAAGTCCCAGCAGGGTGAAAGTGGACATTGTCCCAAACAAGAGCACGTGACAAACTCTTCAACTCTTTAACTGTTTCACTTCTTTTACTTTTATTGCCTCTGGTGGCTCAGAAGAAATGACTATTTTAATTCTTCATGAAAGGCACTTTGATTTTATCTCTGGAGGGTGCAAGTGAAGCTTACAGCAGAATGGCTATTTCCAAGTCCTCATGCTTCTTGCAGTACACTTATACAGATCCCAGAACAAGCATAAGTCTTACATGCAAGTAGAATTGTTCTCATCAACATCTCTAGCTGAGACATTTTTCCTCCTTCACCAGGTGCTGCAAATTTATGGAGAGACTGAGCTAACAAATGTTCACATGTGACTCCACCCAGACTACAAATTACATTAAAAAAAAAAAAGTATTAAATCCACACAAATCATGAAGCTGACTGCAAACTGGGGAATTAAATAAACAAGACTCATTTGTCCTTTGGGGGTTTTTTTTGTTTGCTTGCTTGCTTGTTTACTTAGGGTTTTATTTGTTTGTTTGTCTGCTTGCTTGTTTGCTTGGGGGGTTATTTGTTTTCTTACTTGTTGAAGTCTGGTTGAGCTTTATCTTTATTTTAAAGACAAAAAGAAAGCAGTGATCCCAGTGCCTTGATTTTGTAGAATCACAGGATTTTTGGTAGGAAGGGACCTCAGGAGATCTCATCCACTCGCCTGCTTGAATACATCAGATCAGCTGTGGCTTTTTCTAGACAAGCTTTGAAAATCTCTAAGAAAAAAGATTTTCCCCCTCCCTGAGTATCTGGGAAAGAAGTTTTTCCTAATGTCCAATCTGAATTTCTCAAGCAGCAGCTTGTGGCTGTTGATCCCCATGGTATCAGCTGTCACTACCAAGAAGAGTCTGGCTGCACCATCTCTGGAGCTGCCCTTCAAGTAGTTGCAGGTGGCTGTTACATCACCCCAGCCTCCTCTTTGCCAGGCTGGACAAGCCCAATTCCCTCCACCTCTTTCACAGATGATGTACCCTAGGCCTGTGACTTTCTGGGTAGCCCTTCCCTGGATCCAGTCCAGTTTGTCCACAACCCTCTTGAACTGGGAGGCCCAACACTGGGTCAGCCTCACCAGCACCAAGCAAAGGGGAATAACAACTTCCCTGGACATCCTGGCCATGCTCCTACTCAAATGGCTCATTATATGGTTTGCCTTATTCCTGACGAGCATGCACCATTGGCTCACACAGCATTGCCATCACCCACAGTCCTCACGCTAAGGCTGCTATGTGTCCAGTCAGTCCCCAGATAGCATTGATGCAGGTGGATATTCTGCCCCAGGCTTGGTGCAAATTGTTGCCACTTTCACCTTGTTGAAAACCTTGAGGTTTTGGTTGATCCAGCTCTCATGTTTCATGCAGACCCTTCAGCCCGAGGTTCCGTCATTGACCGTGTCACCTCTGATTTAGTAACCCCTCCGTTCAGAAACAGAGGCTTGGTTTGCTGTGAAGGCTGAAACAGCCACATCAGTACAGGGACACACACAGATTTTGCTGGCTTGGATCTGGAGTGGTTGTCAGGGCTCCCAGGTTTCCAACCAAGCCCAGGGAGAGGGAACTGTAAAATCTCTGGGCACACCTTTTTATTCAACACGTGCCGCCGCAGAGCCCCGGGATTTGGTGAGGGCTGCCAGGCTCTACCTCCTGGTGAAGGAGGGGGAACACCAAAGGTTTACTGTTTCACCAGGGGTGGGTACCGTATCTCTGAAGGCTGCACAGAAACAACCTTTCGCAAACTCAGCCAGAGCATGAGTAAAAAAACACCTTTAAAGAATGACTTTCCTACAGCGATACCAACGCTCACACAGACACAACCCACAATGCCCTAGAAGTCATATTTTTTACTGAAGCAGGAAGATTACCCAGCATGTATCCCAGTTTAGCGAAGGATCAGTGCTCAACATTTGGTTCATCTCAGCCCGAAACAATGGATTTGCCTGCACTTTGAATGTCCTGCAGCACAGCACCAACATCATCACTCCCTGCTTTGCGCTGGACAGGCACAATGTACAAATTACCAGCATTGAATAGAAGAGTAAAATTAATGACAGAACTCTGTTTATGGAGGTTTCGAGACAACCAAAAAAGCAACTCATGCAAATGCAATGTACAAGACTGCTTACGGGAAACTTGCTCACTTGGACTCGAAAGGCGTCAATATTTTGACTGGTGAGTTTGTCTCAGCAGCAACTGAAAACAGATTCCCAGCAAGGCAACCAAGGGAAGCAACGACTTGCAGATGCAGCCACTCTCCACCAGATATGAGTCCTGTCCTGCCCAGGGCATGCAGTGCAGACAGCTAACCAGCCACATGCTCTCGCTCACATTTAGCTTCTTTTTACTGGCATTGACAAGGGAAATGGAGTAAAAAAATAAAATTTAAAAAGAAAGAGCTTAATTTTCAGCCTCTGGGACAAAGACACAGTTCTGAGAAGCAGGAACCTAAACTTGGTGCCTGGTGCGGAGGTGACCACAGAGAATGAGCTACGGTCACTGGACTCTGTTCCTGTGCATCACCGGATGCCTCTTGATGGGTCAGCGCCCAAGCCGGCTCCTTAGCATCCCAGATCAGGCTGCAAGTAAGAAAGTGCCCGGGGACCAACTCAGCAATCCTCTTCTAGCAATAGTCTCTTTGGGCAGGATGATTTATTTTCCCATCTCTGCACTTTGGCACAGACAGGACAAAGGGAGAAGGGTGGCAGTTTTAAGCCACTTTTACAAGCCATGAGCCAAGCCACGTCCATGCTGCCCTGGCCCCAAGGACGCAGGGATGAGCTGTATTCTCCAAATTTGGCCAAGGTGTTGGGAGTTCCAAATCATCTTGGTGTCCTCCTGCAAGGTCTTCTGCGCAGGACCTTGGACCTTCGTGAGTTTCAGCATCTAATTTTTAAAATCTTGCCCCATGAATCCATCATTCTAGGGGTTAAACATGGCAGCACAAGCACCGATGGAAAAACAGCCAGTGTGACCGACACCGGGCAGATCCTCCTCCTCCCCGGAGTGAGAAGCCTGTCTGAAAATATCTGCAGGAGCCAAAGTATGATGAAGATTAACTCCGTTCCCAGCTATGCCCCACTGAACACTGCGTTTGTAGTCATCCAGCTAGGGGCCAGCTCAGCGATAATGCACCGTTACTGACAGGCTGGTGGTGCATTTTTATCTAAAGGCTCCTTCTGGCTCAGTTTGAGACTACAACACAGGTAGGGCTCAGTCACTGACAAGCCATTTTTAAAAAATAAAGATTAATTTAAAAACTGGGGAGGAATAGGTTATGAGTAGGAAATGAATTTTCTTGGGTAGGATAAATAAACTTTACATGGACAGATATTCCAGGGAGACTATGGTGAAAGCAAGCAAGGAGATGAATGTCTTGTGATGAAACTGCAGATTAGGTCATTAGCTATGCATTAAGTCTTGACACTTATTCTCAACATTTTTGGAATATTTATAGTTGCCTTCCCTGGTATATCTTTCCTGAGGCCTATTTATCTGGTGATCTCTGGAAAAACAGAGTGGGAAACCTAAGAATATATTTAAAAAAAAAAAAAAATACTGTTTATGTTACTTGGGCAGAAATCTTTTCTTAAATTGCTGGAATTGGGAAGCAAGGCCAGCCCAAAGCGCATATACATGGGGAGGGGAAATCCATCCACAGCAATACTGGCAGTTGAAAATGTTGGTTGAAAAAGGGTAAATGATGGGGAAATAAATCTTGAATCCTTCTCTCAGAGGAAGCAATATGATCTGTAGCAAGATGAGGTACTCTGGGTGGGATTCACCTCTCTGCAGAGGGACAAAACAAGCTTCACAGCCTCAAAAAAGCCTTTGAAGAGGGATAGAAGTACAGACATGGTGCCCAGTAATGAAGGGCATCTCTCAGGCCTCAAATCCTCTACGGGCTGGCAGGTCTCTTCAGCGATGCAACCCAGTAGGATGAACCAAATCCTGCTCCACTGCAGATCGGTCACAAATCCTTGCCCCTGGGTGTATGCACCCATACCTACGGCAGGCAGGAGAGCTGGCTGGGAATGCCGGCGAGGCAACCGCTGCCTCTTGGGTCCAGCAAAGCTTTCGTTTCTCTTTTCAAAGAGAAAATGCACTTCTACGGGCTGTGTGCTGAGGGATGCCAGGAGGGACAGGAGGTGCGAGATGAATAGTTATGAGCATACTTTCCTCTCCTTGCAAGAGCTTTGAGAGGCCACTGCACCAAAACCAGTGAGGCATGCAGATATTCAGGCAAGGAGAGACATAAAAACCCTTTATGGAGACACAGCCCTCAGGGAGCTATCATCCTGGTGATGTTTCTTACGCTCTGAAATACGAGAGAGGAAAGGGAAGAAATATCCCAAAGCGATTTCCCAATAGTGGGAATGCTGAATTGCCATAATGAGGGAAACCGCTCAACACCAGCCATGGTCAGTGCGAGCCGTCAAATCCACAGGATCTGGCCCGATCCCTCTCTTCCCCCCTGACCCCAAAACTGAGGGAACCGGTCTCATTTGTAGTCTGGTGAAAGATTTATACCGTTAAGCAACTAAGAGCATAGACGGCCTGGTATTGCCAAAATTATGTCCCATGTTTGTTGACTGATTTATTCCTTTGTCTAATTGTGTTCATGAAAAAAGCAGCTCACTAATGAATGGAAAAAGACTCCACATGGCCAGCAAAAA